GAATATCATTCACTTTATTTCTCACATCTGCATACCAGCGCCTGAGTTGCTTCACCTGAAACGTGCCCCAAACCGATTTCCAACAATGATCAAATCATATCCCATTAAATTTACACCGTAAAGCACTAATTATTGTTGTCATTAGGGAGAAACGGCGTAATGCTGCGAGCACACTCACTGTACGAAATGTTGTTTCACAAGCGCACAAAGGCAATCCTTCAAAAATCCTTCAACAGCTTCGATATTCGTGATAAAGATACAAAAACCGACCTTCTCTTTGTCCGCGTCACCTAGTGTGTAAGTCTGGCTCCCCGTCTCTGGCACGACCGGTGTGTCGACCCCACTAGTGAATACAAGACATGCAAACCCGACCCCGGTCTGCGCCTGAACGTTGTGGTTAAACATGCTAATCTGTAAGGAAACACAGGGAGTCTACGTGAGTCCGCACCGTCATTTATGGTGGAAGCTGCGACGGAGAATCAAATCTCAATAAACAGATAGCCGTCCGCCGCACGTGGATCATGGTCCCACGATTGTTACCCTGCTCAGAGCCCCCAGGTGTTTAATTAAACACGAGCAGATGTCATTCGTCTGGGAATTTCTTCTTTGAGATGCTGTCAGTATTGCCTAAACGAGAGTAGTTATTTCTTTCTCTGCGTATATCCATTGCGCATACATGTGTTGCTAACTTGCTATGAAATGCAGATTAACCAGGGTGGGGCTGTACCTGCCATGCATGTATTACAGCTGCTGCTATGTATATGCTCCACACAAGATACACGGAATGCCAAATTCACGATTTTGACCAAGACAAAGGTTGAATGTCACGGAACGTCATCGGTTTTTTTAACTTATATATAGGCTGTGCTTTGCCTTCAAAGATTTCTGTTAATTCCACTGGCAGATAGCTGTCTTCTTGCTACTTTGGGCTCACCTTGACTCGATGCATTCTCACAATCTGGCCGACCTCCGTGACCTTGGGTAGGGCTTCCTCGTTTTGACAGAACAGGCTGCATTTCAATTTGCCCGCATCAATGCAGGAAGGATCGACCAAGGAAAGCATCATATGAACATCTGTCAATAGCAGACACAAAAAGTAATTTTGCATGAACGCAGGCACGCATGCATTCACGCTAGCGCGCACGCACGCACACACATACTATATCTCTGTACAGATGATCCTTCATAGGTTTTTTATTTACCAAAGCATAACCTAGATTTGCTTTGTTCTCTGTCTCTCTCTCTCTCTCTTTCTCTCTTCTGGAATCCTCAGCCTTCACATTCCAGCAAGGTCACACCTATTGAAGCTCTATGCTACACTTCTCCTGCTCATCTCACCTGATCCCCTGCTGCGCTGAGGTGGTTTGTAGTACTTCACAACGCCCCACACATTGACGATTGTGCCCTCCTTTACGTCGCTGATATTCGTGTATGAATACGTCATGCCCTGCATTGTAAACATACGAGCATTTTATTCTTGCTATGCGTAGCCACTACAGTTACTTCGATCGATACAACTGAAATAAATTTCATAAAATTACATCTATGCGGAAACATATGACCGATTTCCCACCATATTATGATACATGACTATGTACTACATTATGCAAAAACCACCCATCGCATCATATATCTCCATACTGCGTAGCACGTAGTATGAAAGACATTAGAAATAAAACTCACGCAAAACCCACAGAAAAAGCGATCGTCACTGTCGTAATTAATGTGTTGCACAGCCTACAGCGTACATGATCTGGTACGATTAGGCTAGTATCCGTAACTGCCCGTCGGCCAGGGATTCATCAGTTACTCTATTTGTTCGCATAGAATCTGACCATTGTCATGTAACTATACACAGATACATGAGGCAGTAAATACACATGTCCGTTTTAGTTGACCGACCAAACCTACAAATTGTTGATTGGTTGACACATCTCCCCTATACTAAATTTGTAAACAAAACCGGCTACTGGAGTCCGACTAGCAATAATTAAATAAATATGTCGCTCACTGTATATACTGGGGATGTATCATTTAACGTAGTAATTCGTGGGTCACTAACGGGTGTCGCACATACGACAGGATAGGCACGCACTTCGTCATTGTTGTCAATGAAACAGAGAAGCATTATGTACCTACAGCGCGAGACTATTTCTTATAGTACTCAGGTACGATACAATACAATATAATACGATACTCATAGGCGCATTTATATGATATAACAATACCGTCGAGTCAGGTACAAGGATCGAGTCATATATATAGTCTTTGCCATATGTCGCCGCCGTCCCTCTTCGTCTCAACCCAGATGTCGACACCGTTTTCTCGCAATCTTGTTTGTATCTTTTCATCACGGCGGATCTCGTACGCTGTGTGTGCTAATGCCCCTCTCTTCATCTCTAGCTCTGGTGGTAGATCCGTTCTGACGCTCATCTTGGAGCCACGTAGATTTGGGCGAGCCTTCAGGAAAGCTTCGCGGTCACTCCAGTAAAGGAATACACCAATTATAGTTGCCGGATTGTCGGTAGCGCGCCGTTGGAGGCGGTGTGCCGTGCAGATCGTCATATTATTCGTAAATTTGTCATCTAATTTTAAAGAGTCTTTGGCAAATCTGCGCACTCTGCTGATTGTTTCTTTTGGTAACATTTCATGCCCGTCCACACCGTACATCAGCAGATGGTATTTGCGGCTATGAACCTGCGTGAGTAGGAGGGATTGTTTTAGGTCTCGGATTTCTTCCCTCAATTTTCCTACTACCAGTTCGTCTGCTTTCTGTGTTTCCTTTACTTTCTCTACTTCGTGTTCCAATGCCTCGGTTTTGTCTGTTAATTTGCTCACTTTGTCGTTTAGAGT